ATTTTCCCGGAGAACGAGGGTCCAGGTAGGGTTGATCTGGTTTGGCGTTGAGGCCTTTCCGAGTCTTTTTGCTTTAGAACCCAATCGTTTAATTCATCACTCAGTCCTTGTACCATCGTGTACCTATTTCGGTTGAAAGACTGTCAGGCCGTGTCTGACTTTCTCCACCCTGGCAGCATGGCGTCAGCAGCCTACCACGGTCAAGCATGTCGATATGAAGGGTTGAGGGTTTTAGGGAGTTGAGGGTTTAGGGGTTAAGGTTCAGGGGGTCACGGGTGGGTCTAGGTGTAAGGCTTAATTATGATGCAGGCCGCTTGGGGGTAGATTGTGTCTCGCTCGCTTGAGTTGTCGCACTTGCCATTCAAGGTGTGACCCTACACCCTGCACCTTAACCCCTACAGAGCAAGGATAAGGCCCTACCTCCAAGGGTCCAAAGGACCCAATAAACAGGTACCTAAGTGTCGGATACTAGTTATGTAGGTTACTATTTGGGAGAGTATATACCCTAGACCCGAAACGCCTAGACCCTAAACCCCTAAAGAGAGTATCTAATCATTAGCTACTTGGACCCCTAAACCCTAAACCCTAAACCCTAGACCCTAAACCCTAAACCCTAAACCCCTAAACCCTAAACCTTACAGGGTCAGGCCTGTGAACCCTCACAGCCGGAGTGTCGGTGGCAGAATTGTCCCATTCGGACCGAGCGTTCACAATATAGGGGCCTTTATGATTAGAATAGGGTATGGGGTTTAGGGTATGGGTTTCGGGTTTAGGGTTTAGGGTTTATCCTATAATTACAATAAGAAAGTCTTCTAATTATTAAGGACCCTTCAAACCTCGGGCCAAGCCATCCCAAGCCTCGCTAAAAAGTAGTATAATGCGCCCCAAAACCTTGTTCTAATTATTATAAGGCCCTTACATTAAGCACAAATCCACGGGGCCAATGAATGCCACGCTTCCGGAAGACTGTTGCCTCGCTCCCCCGACTCGACACTCAATGTTAATCCGTGCTAATCCCATATCAACGTTACTTTTTGGAGTCTTATGTAAGCAGCATGCATAGTAGATGTCTATCCATCTACTTTGTGTCCTCTCTCTCTCTCTCTCGCTCTCTCCCTTTCTGTCTGTCTATCTATCTTTCTATCTATCTATGCATCGGCCAATCATGGTGTGCCTGTGCACACTTTAACTATACCCTCAACCCCGCACCCGATTGGTACCGATGCCGGTGCACCAAGGTTTGCACTCAGGGCCTCTCTACGCAGCCGGATTCCAAGAGGGGTCGGTGCAACAGGGTTTGGAGGGTTCCGTTCCGTTCCGTTTAGGTTCCTTTTGCGGGAACTTATTCGAAGTTACCATAATCGGGATCTGTGGTAAGTCGGTTTCCTTATTCTGGGGACTCAAGATAAATTCCTATACTATGAGGGCTTTGGCTTCCGTTTAGGAGCATAGGATTATGGTAATAAATCATAAGGTTCCTTTTGTTTGTACTGGTTCTTACGGAAGCTGTGTTTTTAGAGAACATGTCACAATTCCAGAGATTCCTATGGCTAAGTGCCTCTTCTGTTTGTTTCGAAGGAGCTCTTAGCATCGTGGATATGTATCTCTGCAGTTACCGTTAACACATCATGGGATCCTGAAGATGATTTCAGGTATATTCCTTGTAATTCAAGGTATATTGGAAGGTCTGGGTGCATAGCATCAAGTACTCTCTGTACTCTCAACCGGCAATCTTGTTGTTGAGTTTTTTGCCAGTGATACCCTTACTTAGCCAATGGGAGAGCTTCAAACTTTTTGGCCACAAATATATCTAGTCTATATCAGAAAGTTCAAACTTTTTTGGACTCGGTTATTGACGAAGAGAGTACCGGGGTGTAGAATGATTACTCGGCTTCTGCCAGTGTAGTGGCACACACAAACTTAGATAGCCAATAGGAGAACTTTAAACTTTTTGGCCTTATCTATTAGGTCTATCCTAAACAGTTTGAACTTTTTTGGGCCTGGTTGTTGAAGAAGAGGGAAAAATCTTCTCGCGAACAAGAAGACAGTCAACTCCAACCCGCAGCTTCCGAAATTCCTGACTCCCCAAGGAAACCCCACATACCTTCGTCCCGAAGCTCGATTCAGGGTTTTTAGGGTTTCGGGTTCAGGATGGAAGAATTTACCCCAAAACCCTATTCCAATTATTGAGGCCCCTAGATTATAGAATCCTGTCCCTTATAATAACCGGAACTCTCCTAAACCCTAAACCCTAAACCCTAAACCCTAAACCGGAACTCTCCTAAACCCTAAAGTTCCTAGGCGCCTGCCGCATGCATGGACTGCGCTCTGGACTTGCCGTGTGGACCTCACGACGGAGTGTTCAGACCAACAGGGTGCTAGGTACTGTTATGGGGGGTTTAGGGTTTAGGGTTTAGGGTTTAGGGTTTAGGGTTTAGGGTTTAGGGTTTAGGGTCTAGGGTTGAGGGCCCTAGAGGATAATACGTAAATTCTTGATTCCTAACATAGAAACCCTACATTCTACCATATAGGTAATTATTGATCCCTAGTCTAGGAACCCTACATTCTACCCATAGGAGTATAGCTATGGATTCCTAGTATAGAAACCCTACATTCTACCGTTAAAAGTGCATCGGAACCCTAAACCCTAAACCCTAAACCCTAAACCCATTCTGTTCAGAGATTTCAGTCAGTGTAACGTGCGCTCTAAATGGAGCGGCCCTGAAGTTACGGGCCTTGGGGCTCTAAACCCTAAACCCTAAACCCTAAACCCTAAAAACTAAACCCTAACCCTAAACCCTAAACCCTAAACCCTAAACCCTAAAAACTAAACCCTAAACCCTAAACCGTTCTAGGGGCCGAAATGGGCTTATGGGTAATAATTAGAATAGGATTTGTAAAGGGGTCCTTATTATAAGTATAGTATAATGGGCGTAGGGGCCGAAATAATTAGCAATACTATTTTGGGGGGGGGTCCTTAGTATAATTATGTAGTATAATAGGCCCCTATATTAGAGTTCTGGTATCTAATTTGGAGGTTCCTTAGTATAATTATAGCATAAGGGGCCCAAAAACCCTGTTCTAATAATTAAGGCCCCTATACTAGAGTTCTGGTCTTGCAGGTCTTCAGGCTTTGGGATTAAGGTTCTACATCGTCCTACAGTTCTTATAACTTTGGGACTTGGGTTCCATGTATGATGGTCTTACACTTCACCTATCTTTTGGGATTAAGGTTTCATGGTGTCGGGCCGAGTCCTGTTCATCCCCGCATGCGCAGAGCCGGGAGCCCCCAGTTCTTCGTCCGGGATCCCTAAACCCTACTTAAAGGATCATGGGACTTAGTAAGTAGAGTTATAATTAAGGTACCTATACTTATAACCCCAATTGAGGGACTTACAACCTTACTTACTAAGTCTCATGATCCTCCAAGTAGACCCCATCACTTCAATCCAAATGAGGGTTTAGGGATTAGGGTGTAGGGTTTAGGGTTTAGGAATCGTATACAAAAACTCCCAAACCCAACCCTAAACCCTTATAGCTTAGACGCTGACGCCCCAGACACATGACTTACCCAAACCCAGCAGTGCCCTCGTCTTAGCAAGCCCTGCACCCTAAACGCGGCGGTTTGGGGTTAAGGGTTTAACCCCAGGAGCCACCCTAAACCCCCAAAGCCTTATCCTTACAAGCCCTAAATAGCCCAGCAGACCCCTGGAAATCCCCAACGCTTCCTAACCCACCTTCCCAACAACCCAGCGGAAAAAGCAGAAGTCCTAAACCGCTTTACCAAAAAGCCATCCCCGGCAGCAAACCTATAAACCCTTTTTACACAAAAAGCAGAATTCCCCGGGCGGCAAAGCCTCCTAAGCCATAAACCCTACACCCTAGACCGTAAACCCTAAACCCTAAACCCTGAACCCTAAACCCTAGACCCTAAACCTTATACCCCAAACCCTGATCCTTAGACCCTAGGCCCTAAACCCAAACAGCAGAATCCCCCGGTTACAAAGCCTCCAGAGGCTCCTACGCTTGCGGCTCCGCGATTCGGCCTGCGATGCTTCTCCGACGTCAGGCTTTTGAGTTTTGTTTTCTTGTTTGTTTTTTGTGCGTTTTTTGCTGGTGGGGTTTAGAGAGTTTAGAGTTTTTCTTGGGGGTTTCTGGGTGGGTTTAGAGAGTGAGGAGTTTTTGGGGTATCTGGGTGGGTTTAGAATGTTTAGATTTGTTGGGGTTTTCTGGCTGGGTTTATATAGAATGTTTAGATTTTTCTGGGTTTTGGAGTTGTGTGTTTTTGTTCTGGCTTTCGGGCTTTAGTGTTTTGGGAGTTCGGGGTTCATGTCTTGGTTGGTTCGACGGTTGCTTTGCTTGCGGCTCCTTAGAGTATTGTAGTAGGTATCTCGTGTTTGGCTGGTTTTAGGGGTTTGTGGTTCAGGGTGTAGGGTTTACTATAGTGGCCTTAATAATTACCTATAAGATTTTGGGGCTTCTTAGTATAATTATGGTAAAATATACCCCAAAAACCCTATTCTAATTATTACGGCTCCTATATTAGGGTGGCGGCGACTCGGGATGGGAAGGCAACGTTTCGACTTCAGGGTTGCAGGGCTTACTAGGCTTCAAATAGGGTTTAGGGTTTAGGGTTTAGGGTCTAGGGTTTAGGGTTTAGGGTTTAGGGTTTAGGGTTTAGGGTTTAGGGTTTAGGGTGTAGGGTGCTTCAAATATGACCGGCATACCTTCCGCCGGAGCTCCTGCACAAGCCACACAATCGACAGGATACTTTTTTTGCCAGTAACTACTTCCTCACGGGAGAACTCTTGAACTTGTTGGGTTTGTATATTAGGTCTGAGTCTTTACGAAAAGTTTTGAACCTTTTAAGGGGCCTGGGCATTGAAGAAGAGAGAATATAGTGCCAGCATCATTTTACTTTGAGCTTCTGGGTCAGGTTCGCCCCGACCCATGAGTGGCCCGAGCCTCAAAACTGGTGGTGCCTTCCGTGGCGCTTTTCCGCCGGATTGGGCTGTACCTAAACCCCCAGGGGTAGGTAAATTGATGGTATGGTCACGGTATGGTCCAACACCTGTGGAAGGCTGTTATTCTGCATGAGTTTGTGGTCCAGGGAAATGCTGAACCCTAGACCCTAAACCGCTACAGATCCCTGAAGAGAGCCCTCAACGGAGCCAAAAAGGTTCGGCTGTAGGTGCTGCTAGCCCCAAAGCCTACGTTCATGCTTCATCGAGCTGGGGGCTACTCTCGCGAGTTTTCGTTTAGGGCGGTTTAGTTTGGGGTGGTTTAGGGCTCAGGGGTAAGGATCCGTAATCGTTGTTCCCCTCAGCTGAGGGCTGTATTGGGGACCCTATTGGAAACGAAGCCGGTCAGCAATCAGACCGAGGTCTACATTAATATAGGGGCCTTGACAATTAGAATAGGGTTTGGGGGGTAAATTATATTATAAATGTCATAAGAACCCCCCAAACCCTATTCTAATTATTAAGGCCCCTGCATTAGGGCCTAAACCCCAAACCCGAAAACCCTAAAATTGTGTACATCACAGATCCGGGGCGCAACCCTGAGATGATCCGATTTATAGAGCATGGCCCTTGCGGGTGTGCATGGAGGGATTACAGGGCTGATGACGACTCCTAACCCTAAGGATCCAAGTGCTCCCTATTTTAGGACTTTGGGTCCATCTTGGGTGCCAAAAGCCTACTTGGACCCTTAGGGTAAGGCTCCATGAACTTGTTTAGTACATACTTAGGCCGTCAAGTAGTGCCTACATAGGTATCTTAACGCCTAAGTATATACTATCTATACATAGACATATATATATATAT